GCAGCAACAGACAACAGAGAAGAAAGCTACGTATAGGGAAAGTTTGCTGCTCCTGGATCTGCATTCAACAGAGAATCAGAGTTGTGAGTTCTGCTGGCACCACACGACACCTTCCTGATCCAAATAACGGTTTAAGACGGTTTACAGCCTGCTAAAGACATCTTTGACTGTTCGACTATGTAGAACTTTTTCTTTATAGGACTCTAAACCGACGTCTTAGAGAAGGAGCCTTATTTCCCGGACGTGAGTGCTCTAATATAAGGTCGAGGAGAGACAATATCCTGAACACGAGCATAGGTCAAACCGGACCCTGGGAACATTCAAGAACAATATAAAAAAAGACTGCCATTCAGATGGCTTTCCAAAAGAAAAATGCTTGCTGATGAAAATGTGTGACCATGATACACTCTTTTCCTTCCTGTTTCTTGGTTTGGGGTTAAGATTTGAACTTGCATTCAGAATCCCCCTCTCCTGGTTTGTTAAATAAGCATTTCGTGAGTTTCCCAGTTGATTATAAAGGGAATGGTGATATGATACCAGGTAGGGTCTTGGAAGTAAAATCAACAAGTATCAACTTGCCCAGGTAGATCAGACAGGAAATATGACCAGCTGAGCTAATTCTAATTTACTGTAAAGCTAGATTAACAGAATCTTGAATATCTGAAAGTACAAATCTTCCACCTTCTCTTTTACAACCAGAGAAGCTAAAGAGGGTCCTTTCTGTGCCTGCTTCTCCATCCTTTATGCAGTTGTGGGCTATGCCAACTCTTATCTGATCCATCCCTAGGCAGCATTTTTTTGCCCTGTGTCTCAAGAGCTTTCTCACTTCCCATTACAACATGCAACAAATGAAGGGGAATGAAAAAGCAGGTGTCCAAACTGAACCAGTTTATTAAGAACATTTTTAAAGCCCTACTTTTGAATCTACACACCCAAACATCATCACGAAGTATCTTCCCAGTTGTTGCTTAATTTCCTTTTTCTAATTCTGTGTCTGTGATGTATTTTATCAAATAACATTTAATTCTGGAATTTCTGTTTACAGTAAATAAAATCTCCAGACATATTTATTAAACTGGTAAGCTTTTCAGAATTAAAAAATGGTTCTGTATAATTAAGCTTTAATGTTTATGACAATATGAGCAAACATATGAAACACAAACAAATTCTGCTGATGTTTTGCTAGAGTTCCCTTGCCTTCTTTGACATCAGGACTACAGAAAACCCAATTAGATAGATTTGATGTTATTGAAATGGCTAGTTTATATTATTTTTTAAAAGTAAAAAGTTGAGGTTCGAAGTTGATACTCTATTGCACCAAAGGAATTCGGAAGTCAATGCCTTTTTCCCCTTTTTTTTCTCCCTCATCTCACTTCTCTACTCCCTTTTCCCTTTCCCATCTTTTCCGATATTTACTTTGTATTTCGATTGTATTGTATATTATAAACTAATAAAACTTTGAATATAAAAAAAAAAAGAAAACCCAAGCAAACAAGAACTCAAGCACAAATCTTTTTTAGATACATCAGACAACTTAACACATTTCTCCTAACACTCCTGTCGGGGAAAAAAGCCAGCATTTCACTTTAGTATCTGTCAGACATTAACTCTGAAGGTTTCAGAGTGAAACAGGGATTGCTGGAATGAAATAGACCATTGATGTTTTTTTTATGGGTATATAAAACTGGGTGTGGGGTAGAAAAAAATGTAATGTCCCAAAGGCTATAATTTTGGTTTCTCTTTAAGTTGTTCATAGCAGAAAATGCACATGTACATTAGCCCTTTCAGGCAAGAAATATAAAGTCAGTGCAGGTAAGGATAGCATGCACGGTGTCACACACACACACACACACACACACATGTGCGTGTGTATAGATGCAACGGATTGTCGTCTCAAAACAGGATCACGAAACGTAATCTCTTTTACAGAATATTAGATATCATCTAAGACACTAGTAAAGAATAGTCCGGTGTTAGATTTGTCTAACTTAACTAAGATTCTCCTTACCGTCATTATAAATACAACTCCAAATATGGATCTATCAAATCCAGCAATTCATTTCACTCCTGAACCATATTTTTTTTCTTTATTATCCAGTTTTTCTTTATTAAAACAAAATCTCCATGTGGTTCTAAAATTGTATTTCTGGAGTAGGATTCTCCAATAGTTTAGAAAAAAAAATCCTGTATTTCCTCTTTGTGGTTTTCAACCTCTTATATGAGACACAGTGATGAAATTGCTTCTTGTGTATTAATTCATGCAGCTTATATATTTCCAAAATAAAATTAGACCCCAAAATGCAATCTGATGTTGTCATTACTATCCAATTTAACAGAATGACTCTAGGAGTGACTTTTCCCCAAGACTATATTCTTTTCCAAATAGCATTCCTATCTGAATCTTGCATTTATTGGAAAAGTTCCTCCCTCAAGACAGCCATGGCCATTTCAGCATTTTATTATGCAAGCGTATGGAGGTACCTGTCCCCCCCTTAAACAATGATACCCAAAGGGCTAAACAGAGTAGAGAATTCTTATTTCTCCTTGAAACAGAAATCACACTGACCTCAGAAAAAAAAAACCAAGAATGTATCTTTTATTATGTGAACCTGGGGTTTTAGCACAATCGGCAACTTATTACCATAAGTAACAGAGCGATATTTGTACATTTGTGCGGGGTTAGTTTGCAAAAGAATTTCCCCAAAGATTGCAGGAGGTAAACTGCTTTTTAAATAAAGTGACAAATGTACTGTAAAGCCTCAAAACTTTTCCTTTACCATCTGCTGCCAGAACTGGGTTGTAAAAAAAAACAAAGTTAAGATGGCATTCTAGTAGGCCCTGTGAAGTTTGGCATCCCAGCAAAATCTGCCCAGAGTTATCTTGAGGTCAGATGGGCAGCCTATAAATTATAAATAATTAAATTAAATAAATTAAATAAATAAATATGTGAGGAAGAGACAGTCCTCTAGCTTGCATGGGGTGTTTACAGAAGCCAGCTAAGGATAGGTATTCACAACAAATGAGGCAGGCCTGAGCTCCGGCAGTGGATAAAGCTCAAGTAAAAAAGTACAGCTTGAATTAACACTCATTTTAAGATTTATTGTCCCAGCTCCTGTTTTTGCTCAAGTAAGGTTTTAAGAAACCTTGAAGAGCCATAGGATTCCTTTGCTCAGCATCGTCTCAGTGCTCCAGCTGACCCTTTTTCCCAAATGTTTAGAAACCCTATCAGGTGATTGAATGGCTACATCCTCCATCTGGGAGAGGGTTCATGGCAGTGGTGGCGAACCTATGGCACACGTGCCAAAGGCGGCACTCGGAGCCCTCTCTGTGGGCACACATGCCATTGCCCCAGCCTTGCCTCCTCCCATGACCCCCTCCTCACCAGCAGCCCCCCTGGAGGAGAGTCACCCCCGAGCGTTGCCCACACGGAGCAGCGCAGCCAAGGAAATGGCAGCCAGGCAGCATAGACAAGACTCTGCCCTCACACCCCATCGCACACAGTTGATGCTGCGGGGCACGGGCAGAGGGCATGGCCGCAATGGTGCTGCTGGGCTGCCTGGGCAATCTGCGGCGGGCCCTGGAGGCAGTGAGTGGCCCTGCGGGCAGGCGGGGCAGGGGCGGGGCAGGAGTGGGGGCGGGGCTAGTTTTTGGGCACTCGGTCTCTAAAAGGTTCGCCATCACTGGTTTATGGCTTCCCTAAAATAGAGGAAATGGAGTTGGGCATTCCCCCTGAAGAGAAATAAGCTGAGGTTCATCATACTCTGTCAGAGCCGTGCTTGGCTCCCTGACTTTGGGACCCCTAGGAATACAATAACAAGTAGTAAAAGTAAAGGTAAACTTTCCCCTTTCCAGTCCTATCTGACTCTAGGGAGCAATGCTGATCTCCATTTCCTAGCGGAGGGAGCCAGTGTTGTCCAAAAATATTTCTATGGTCATGTTACCAGCATGACTATACACCAAGGCACAGGGAATGCTGTTACCTTCCCACTGAAGTGGTACCTATTTATCTACTCATATTTGCATGCTTTCAAACTGCTAGATGGGCAGGAGCTGGGACAGGTAACGGGAGCTCACCCTGTCACGGAGCGCTTGGGTCATGAATCCGGACTGTCAGCTTTCCAGATGATAGGTTCAGTGTATTTAACCACTGAGCCATTGCAGTAACATACAAGCAGCATGTCAACAAAACTGCACTTGGGAGCTTCCCCCCCCCCAAGTGCAAGGATCGCTGCATCATATTATTAAATTGGGTTAAATTGATAAGTAGAAATACTAGTTACGGCTAGTGGCTAAATGGCTAAAATGTGGCAGCTAAGTCTCTCTGGTTAAAAAATATGCCCACAAGCATGATGAATTCGCTGGATTTTGAAATTTCATCCATTTATGAAGTAGATAGAACAGAAAGGAATTCTAGAGCTTTGGAAATTTATCTTCCAGAAGCACATTCCAGGACAATGCTGTATGACTGATGATGGCAAGGATCACGCAAAGGCCAGAGAAGATTGATTATCTAGAACAGGGGTTCCCAACCGGGGGTGCGAGACAATATTCCAGGGGTTGCGAAAACTTGGGTTTTCAAAATTATAGTGTATATGCATAATTCATTGCCGTTATTTTGAACTTTTGTAAGGGGTGCGAGAATATATCAGAAGCGTTCTAGGGGTGCAGCAGGGTATAGAAAAGGTTGGGAGCCGCTGATCTAGAAGCCCCCCACACCTCTTGTAGAAAGGAGGAAAAAATATAACAAAAAATGCAACTTTTCAGTAACTTAAATATGTGAATACAATACTATCTTCAGTTTCACATATTAGCTTCCATTTTGTGCATACAAATGGATAAAAATGATTTATTCAAACCATAATTGGGTACTAAATGAAGAGAGCAAAGAAAGGTCAATGAAACATCTGATATTCTTAACTATTCATTTGGATAAAGATCTAGATCCCAAAGCTTATTCTTGCAATGTTAAAATATTACATGAAAGAGTATAATTTCTTTACCTGGAAAGAATTCATCCAGCGAAGAGAAGGAGGCAACGAAGCATTACTCTGAGACAGTATCAATAGAAGTTCCAAACAGGTTTTTGACGGAAATGTGAGAGAAGAGACTCCAATATCTTCTCTCCATGCATCAACAAGACTGGAATGAAATAAGAATTCTGTTACCTGTGAATGTAATACGCAGGGATTTTTAAACTTTCAATAAGTGGAAAACAATAAACTTTGCTTATAAGCAGGTTTAGCTACACAGAAATGGAGCAATGGATAGTGTTATAATCTTATTCAATTACCTAAGCGGTTGGCATGTGATCATGAATGCCTAATGAGATATTTCTGTATTCCATTTACAGTAGTAGCCAGCTAAATGCACTGAAGACTCTTAAGACATATCAGAAGGTGTTACTCCTGGCATTCCCAGTGCAATCCTGGTTTCTGTCATGATCCTTTCTCCATCTGTTCTTTTATACAAAAATAGAACCTAGCATTCTTCATGGGATATCTTTATTTACAAGGATGCTCCTTGAACTCATAATTTTCTTAGGAAAAAAAATGGGTATCTATTCCACTTGCTTCAGAATGTTCCTATCTATCCAGAAAAAATGTACCAAAAAACAAAACAAAACAGAAACCCGGGGCTCAAACAGAACATAGTACATGACAAGTAATTTTTTAAGAAGGCCCATTATGCATTCCCAAATGTTGCTAGGAGTCATGCGGTATATAAATTATTATGGATGGCCATACAATCAATCGGATGTTTAGATTGGATTTGACATTTCTTTTAATCTACCTATCAAGTCCTTCCCAAGGACCTAAGGCAGGGGTAGGCAACCTTGGCTCTTGTATGACTCATGGACTTCAACTCCCAGAATTCCTTTTATGACTCATGGACTTCAACTCCCAGAATTTTGGGAGTTGAAGTCCACAAGTCATAAAAGAGCCAAGGTTGCCTACCCCTGACCTAGGGATAGGCAGATGCTGTTGTTTGATGGTATTAAAATACCATTGCAGGATGTAAACTTTTCCCAGTGAGGATGCCTTTTGCAATTCACTGATAGTGATTTTGTTAATGCTGATGGTATTCAAGTGGTGCTCCAGAGATTGCACCCAAGGCACCTACTACTAGTGATACTATCTTTGTTTTTTTGTTTTTTGTTTTTTTGGAACAGTTGTTCTACTTCTATTTGTAAGTCCTTATTCTTTGTAATTTTCTGCACTTCTTTTTCCACTGTTTTGCTGTCTTCAGATATTGAATGTCCACCATCCAGACTTTCTTTGGCTTTCTTATCAACAACTGTTAAGTCTGGGATATTGTGTAGCAGATGTTTGTCTGTTTGAATTCTAAACTCCAAGAGCATTTTGGTTTCTTAATTTTATATTACTTTATCTATGTTATGGTTGCGCCAGTTCTTGCTTGCAGGCAAGTGGTACTTTCTTGCAGATATTCCAGTGTACCATTGTTGCTACTTTGTCATGCCATTGCTTGTACTTAGTCTGTGTGATGTTCTTGCAGCAACTAATTAGGTAGTTCATTGTGCCTTCTTTGTGCAGAGGGAACATTTGCTGCCTGTTGCTGTCTTCTCAATTCTGGCTTTGCATACATTTCTTTTTAAGGCTTGGTCTTGTGCAGAATTGGTCCTTCTGTCTCTTCTCATATTTAAGTGATTGTCCACTAGGATTCCAAGATCCCTCTCACAGTTATTACAATTGAGCAAGGTACCACCTATACTGTACCTGTGCATTTGATTTTTCTTGTCTAAATGTAGAACCTTACTTTTTTCACCATTGAATTTTATTTTGTTAGATAGTGCCCAATATTCAAGTCTGTCAAGATCCTTCTCTATCTTAAGTTTCTCTTCTGGAGTGTTGGCTATTCCTGCAAATTTGATGAGTTCCCCATCTATCCCCTCATCCAAATCATTGATGAAGATGTGGAAGAGCACTGGGCCCAGAATAGAGCCCTGAAATACCCCACTACACACTTCCCTCCATGTAGATGCAGTTCCATTGAGGACCACCACACTGAATATGGCCAGCTACGAATCCATCTGGTGGTGATGCTGTCTAACCCACATTTTTCTATCTTATCAAGTCGTAGGTTGTGGTCTACTTTATCAAATGCTTTACTGAAGTCCAAGTAAATTATATCCACAACATTCCTCTAGTCGACTAATTTTGTCACCTTGTCAAAGAATGCAATAAGATTTGTCTGGCATGATCTGTTTTTGACAAACCCATGTTGGCTTTTGGTTATGGCTTTGTTTGCCTCTAGGTGTTCACTGATTCGTTGTTTGATTATCTTTTCCAGAATCTTCCGAGGTATTTAGGTCAAGCTGATAGGTCTGTAGTTTCCTGGATCCATTTTTTTCCTTTTTTGAAGATGGGAACTACATCAGCTCTTTTCCAGTCCTCTGGTAGTTCCCCAGTGCTCCAGAATCTTTGAAAGATATAGTTCAGTGGTAATGAGATCACATCTGCCAGTTCCTTCAGAAACGTGGGGTGTAATCCATCTGGTCCTGGTGATTTGAACTCATCTAGGGTGGACAGGTGCTCACTTACCGTTTGCTTGCCTATCTTAACTTGTGTTTCTAATCTGTTTTTTACAGTACTGTTTTTGATAGGTTGGACTGTTTTTTCCCTTTGTGTAAAGACAGTTCCAAAAAAACAAATTAAGTAGTTCTGTCACCTTCTTGCCACTTTCTCCCACTAATGGACCAATCATTTCCTTAACTTTTTTCTTGTTTTTTACATCTTGAAGGAAGCTTTTTTTTGTTTTTTACATCTTGAAAGAAGCTTTTTGACTTTTGTCGCAAGCCTTAGTTCATTTTGAGCCCTAGCTTTCCTCACTTCATATTTGCAGCTTGGGCTATTTGCTGATATTCTGCCTTAGTTATATGCCCCTCTTTCCACTGTTTATACTTGTCCTTTTTGCCTTTCAATTTTGTTAAAATTCGTATGTTAATAAAGGCCCCAAAGTACTGAATGGAGAACAGAGCAATAACAAGTGATAAATCTAGAACATAAAAGGGAAGCAAATCAAAGGCGTGTTAGGAAGTGTTTGTCACTATGTGGGACAATGATAGGTTGGTTAAAAGAATGGCACATCTTGATAAAGTAACCTGTTGGTTTTCATCTTGTAGATAATAGCATTCTTTTGTATTTCAAGCATATAATTATTACGCCATAATTGTGTATAGGATGAAATGCCATAGCTAAGAAACAGGTAGGAACAGAAATCCATGGTTTGGGTTTCAACACAAATATTGAGGAGAGGAGAGGAGAGTGGTCCAGTTACCTAACTAATTTGAACTTGGATTTCTCTGGTGCCAACCCAAATCTTCATCATTATACTTTTTGCTTGACCAACAGGTTTGATAAAATATGCTGTTGTTCTTGTTATTTTAACCACTGTATCTTAATTCTTGCCAGCTGACAGGGTAAAAATGATGCTTGCTCTGATGGAGTATGCAATAAAAAGCAGCTTCCAAGTATCCTTGAGGTTTACATGAATTTATATGCTGAACCATTTGATTAAAAATATGTTTGTATTCACCATACTTGGGGCAACATACAGTCCCTGCAGAGTGACGCATGATGACAAATCTCACTTCTTTCAACAGCAGCTCATTATACAACCTTCTGAAGCATGCACTGATGAATAAAGCCCCATTATGGTGGGATGTCAAGAGATTAAAACCGAAAACGTATCAACACTTCTGCCTCTGTTAAAAATAAGCTAACGCTGACTTTATGAAATTCATCTCCCTTGGAGAAGTGTCTAGCCCGGAGGGGTTGCTAACAATAGTGCAATATTATGAATGTTAATTACTACTACAAAAGAGTGAGCATACTTTCAAACTTTTCAGAAAAGAAATCCAGGCTGGTGGATTTAAACAAACGAGAATCCCCAGGTAAATGGAGGAAGATGGAGAAAATGCCGGACATGATGGAAGTTCCCCATTTATCCTGCTGGGAAGTTGGAAGTATAAATCAAATTAGATTTTATGAAAGCTTTCCTTGTGAAACAGTCCCCCCCTCCCACTCCTCTGGGGTTCAGATGGCCCCAACCCAGTTGGCAAGAAAAATCTAGTTCTTCCCTCTGGCTTCAAAGTCGGAATGCTAGAGGAACCCTTTGTGTGTGTTTTGTCCTGCACTGTTCAACTGTTTTGATGAGTTGATTATTTTTATTGGTCATCTTTGTTGGCTTTCTTTTTTGTTGCTGTTTTCATATGTAGGTTTCTGTTTTTATGTTTTGTTACTCACCCAGGGTTACTTGATTAAGATGGGAGAGGAGAGGGAAAGTTTGCAAACTAAATAAATAAAATAAAGGAGAATAATAATTAATCATTAATTAATTGATAATTTAAGGAGAAACTTCCTAACAGTGAGGACAATTAACCAGTGGATCAGCTTGCCGTCAGAAGCTGTGGGTGCTTCATGACTGGAGGTTTTTAAGAAGAGACTGGACAGTCACTTGTCTGAAATGGTATAGGGACTCCTGCTTGAGCAGGGGGGGCTGGACTAGAAGACCTCCAGGGTCCCTTCCAGCATTATTCTGATTAAATCAATGGGTCAAAATGACAATAATAATAATAATAATAATAATAATAATAATAATAATAATAATAATAATAATAATAATAATAATAATAATAA